AGGTTTCGAAAACAAAAGCTGGTGTTGTCATCCATCCATATTCTAAAGGCGAAAAGAAGAACAACTGAGGAGCGAGTGACAGGGCACACGCTAATGAATGTACAAGGGAGTGAAAGTCAGAAACTAATCGAAGCCATTGATCAACTGGCAATTAATGAGACTGTGGGGTGAAAGCGGGGCGGGGAAGATTTATTATTAATTTTCTTTTGTCTTGCTGGTGCCACAACAAGGACGAGCGGAATGAATCCCAGGAAGCAGGAAGAAGTGGCAGAGAATGGTGAGAGGAAAGGCTGGAAATCCATCCGTGAGCATTGTTATTCCGCCAAGAAAGCCACATTAAAGGTGCTTACAGACTTGCACTTGATCCATTTCACTCACACACGTTCCTCGATCCCTGCTTACAGATAAATATGTACAGCCTCATCTCGCAAACAAAAGTTAGGGTTTCCGCAGTTTTTCCTCTATAACTACAGTGTTACAGATAAAGCGATTTTTAACGAATTGAGTGATTCATGTGGTATTTCATGATTTGTATGACATCACCAGTTAGTGGCAACTTGTCAGAATCAGGCAACTAACAAGCACAAATATTCCCAGAACTTATGTATTCACTGTAGAACCCTGCCTCCTTTTACTTCGTCCAGCACTGCAGAAGAAGAAGAAGAGATCCCATTTCATTTTCACGTCTCCTCCACCTCCTCTTTATTCCTATCAATTAACACAAGATGCGAGAAGACGAATCAACCAACAAACAGTAGACATTCAAAGATTCCACTTTCAAAGTATTCTCAAACTAAATAATCTAGAAATCGAGCTGCCTACAGACTAAACTAAACCAAACTAAATTGGGTGGTCATGTTACACAACATTCTCATCACAGCAGCATGCAGGACTCAACACAAAGCCACCCAATTCATAAATATTTCATCAACTTTTAATACCTTTCCCTAATTCCAAAACCTGTCCAGGAAAGTTGCAGACTCAATTTGTGGAAATTATTTTGTCGTCATCGAACACTCGTGGTGGGAGCTGCCTTGAACTATTTACATGCATGTTGTCGTCGTCGGCGTCTCGAGTGACTGGAAATAAACTTATGCCGATAAACTTTTGTGGTCGTGTAGCAGCATAGATGTGGATGCAAGCAGGCAAGGACGACGACGACAAGGACAAGGAGAGAGAAAGTTGTGACGGCGTCACGTCCACGTCTCAAAAACTGTAGAACTAACTGCACCCCTTGTTGACAATGAAGATTCATTACAGTCCAAAACCGCAGACGAGGCAAATATAGCCATAAACGAAGCATTTCTTACCACGTGAGGTCATTCGTCACAATAATTCATGCGGTTTATATATGCACGCCAACTTTCACCGCTCAGCGGAGCCTGCCGACTTTCAGTATCACGCTAATTGTGACAAATATCATGAAAACTTGTATTTTCTCTCCTCCACCCGTCTCAGCATTGCAACCATGCGCTTATCACGTCCAAAGAGCATGGTGCAATACAACCATGTATCTCGAGTCCCTTATATGTAATAGATATTATTAATTAAAAAACAATGTCCAATGTGCAAATTAAACCTGTTCTAAACTGTTTTAATGTTCATTTCAGGCTCCCAACATGCAAGAGAACATCAAAGTGGAAAACTTTCCCTTTAGACTACATGCAAAAGATTGGATGGAACAGAGTGAGTGAGTGAGAAGAAGGTTTCTGGGACTTTGTTATTTGAATTGAATTTGCAAGACGAAGATTTATGTCGTGATATTAATTTAGGGAGGAAGAATATTATATTGTGAACTATTGTCTATCAATAATTCACCCACAACTGCTGCCGGAGACGACGAATTTGTCGAGAATAACATACTTTATTCTCTGAGTGGAAAGAAAATGCCGACTACTTGTGAATTTGCATAAACACCAAATTTGTCAGGATTTTCAGAAAGAGAAAGCGAAGCTGGAACAATAAGTTTGCGACATTGATTCAGCCCACATGCAAGAGCAAAACAACTTACTCGTAAATACATAAATGCGGGACCAAGTGGAAAACAGATCTTTGTCTCTTCTATGGACTATCCTTCTTTGGAATCCAATTCTTTGCAAAATATTCAAAACAGCGTCTTCAGACCCAGTTTCCCTTTTCTCTTTTTTATCTCTAAAACTGCAACGCTCTGCACTTTCACTTTTAATCAGAACCGACCGAAATACATTTTTGTAGTTGGTATGTAAATAGATCAGGCGGAGAGAAAGTACCCGGCATCAGTTATCGTATGCGCTACATGTTATCGGCGTGTAGGAATTTTGAAGGAGGCGTAAAAAAGCAGTACCAAAAATAACGGTACTGTCCTTACATTTTGACGCTGACTGAGGCGATTTTCTGTCGACGCGGTGTTTACTTTCAATCTCATACAGTCAACATTGTTACACCCAACTCACTTGCTTCACAACCCGTCCAAGTGACACAATTCAGTCCATGTAGATACGACCAGAGCACGTTCTGTCCAGCCATTAAATCGCTGTATATGTACCTGTGATCGACCCCTACGACCTGGTCAAAGGTCACACATATTGCTTACATAAAATAAATCCAGGGTACTCTGCATTCCAATACAGAAAAGGAACCCACGGAATGACAAACTAGGTCTGGTATCCTAGTTGTTACCTATTTATGTGATCACCAAAATGGAGGTGCTGCTAAGCTATTCGATTTATTAGTCGAGTTTTATTGGCAATTTGCTTTCATTTGCTGCTAGTTCGGATTGAACTCGATTTCCAGATTTTTATATACATACTTACCTCATTTCATTGTCGTTCATACATATTTGAAGAAAGTGATACGATTTCACTGGGCCAACTATATGGGATGGATTTGTCGTGCTGATAGACAATCAAATCCCATCCACATTTAGAAAGTGATATTTTCAAATCGACGCGAGAAAGGAAAGTAACGCGAAGAAGAAGTAGGAGAACGAAGAGAAAATTGAATTGTCCTCAGGCTCGTTTGACATAACAAGTTCAGCAGAACATGATGCTCGACAATGTAGATATTCTCCAATCCAGCTATTTAGGATGAGATCACGTCGACATCACATTACAAAAATTGGGACCCCGCCCTTCATCGAGTTTTGGAATCGATTTGAAACCATTTAACCTCAATCATAACTAAACGTGTCGTAGTTTGTCATCTAAATCGGTATCTCGAGAGATGAAGGTAGGAACGAAATTGGGAGAAATCATCTCAGGGAAAGGAAAGAAATATGTACTTTCACTTCATGCGAGAAAATATAGAGTTAATGAACGAGTCGCAGAAGTGGAGTAGCGACGCTTCGGCCCTCTACAGAGTGGAAGTCGACTTTATTTATCCATTTTGTGTTTCAAAAGTACCTGGATAAATTTCTGAAATAAGTATGAAAATCTTTGAACTGTCAGTTTCGCATACCACAATTAAACTGGTACCATTAAAGCTACTACATAGGCGCAGTCTTGTGCTTATACCCTTTCTATCTGTTCATTTTCGCACATTTCGTTCATTTCGTCAATATAGAGTCAGTGTTCGTTAATTTAGCCCGAGTTAAGAGTCCTATTCTAAATTTACTATGTATTATATACTTAATTTTGGCGCAAAATTACATCCTTCGTAATACTTACAATGCAATAGACACTTGAGATAATTTTCTTAATTTTCATCAGTTTCCTAGCATGCTACATTTCCAATTTTGTCAAACGATATCAAAAAGCATTGAGGACCCTGTTTTATGCAACTGCTAAAAACATTCATTTTTGGTCTGCTGTCTTGATACCAAATAATTTGGTGTATCGATATCTGTAACCACTACCGCATGGTACCCTAAATCCATGATTTTAAAATAAATGACCTTGGGTAGACCACATCAAACATCAAATTAATGCACAAAAATCCCATTTTTCTAATTTTTCCGCATTTGGTCCAAATTTCACCTTTTTGTGACAGTTTTCAAAAATCGGTATGAATACCCATAGGGTATCTCAAAAATTTCCAACGTCACTATCCAGAATCTTTCATTAGAAGCCAGTAGAGACCTCGGTACCAAATTTCAGCCTTCTATAATAGTAGCCCAGAAAGATGTGAAAGCGTTCCAGGCCGCTTATGAAAACGCAAGAAATTATGCCTACAAAAACAATGTAATTGCAGTAATTTTGTGCATGACGCAAGTGTTTTTTACGGCAAACACTGTATGGGGTTGAAGTCAAAATATTGGCAATTTAATACCTAAGGGCATATGATAGATGACAAAATCCTAGCTCGTACCAAATTAATAGTGTCACAGCAAAACTGCGTCAAAAACCGTAAGTTTTTTAAATGAACTATTAATTTAAGCATTTCACGTTTTCCGTACTATGTAATGTGCATGTGAATGCGCCATGAATATGGGTACTGGCTATCAACTTTAAAAAATTGCTTGGCATTATCAGTTTGGATAAAGGTAGGATAGCTGTCAAAAACCTACATCCACCCTTTCTCATCATTGTTCCCATGGTCCAAAATTTCGGAGCAATTTGTAGCATTGAACTAATAATCAGAACAGGAAATAAAATTTGGTTCCTTAAATCTGGTTCTGTATCAGGGCCTTAACATTTTGACACCTTGTACGATTTTTAAAAAAAAAGTTGGGAATATTTCAATGAGGCAAAAGGTACATTTCCGTTGACAATTTGTTGGCTTGTGCCAATCTCAATCTCATATGCGATGTGTTGTTTGTGGATGTGAAAAAGTCTTGAGTGACAATTGCGTTGGAGCAAAAACCTTGGTAGCAGTTGCAAAAAAAACTTTCCAATCTATTTGCCAGCTCTAAAAAATAGCTGCTGAGACTAAGTTAACCAGCAGCATCAGAATTATTAGAAGGGGCGACTAAATTGTACACAAGTTGTTGGTATCTTCTTATTTTGTGGTGAATTATCAGTTAGGAAACTGAGATTGGTGGTGGTGGTGGAGCCTTTAAATTGAGATTCCCATCGAGCGAGAGAGTTTCGCTCCTCATTCACTCCTCTCTTCTCCAGTTTTAGTGTTCTGCTGGCCCAACTAACCGAACTCAAAGAACTACTACTTACACATACTCCAAAGCCAAATTCCAGGCCCTTTAAAACCTATCCCACAGAAAACCACACCCACGCCTACAGCAACCACCAAGGTGACCTTTTCTCCTTGCTCATCATTCGTCAAATTAGAAGGTGAGGCGAAATTGGGAGGGTAAAAAGATAATGATAATAGTTACCCCAGGGCAGGTAAACAAAAGATCCTTTATAATTTTATTCCTGGATCCTCTGTCTGGACGGTGAGAATTTGACAGGACAAACGTTTTTGAGGGGTGGGGTGCATTAGGGAAAATTGTTTTAGAGTAGAGTTTGAATCAGGATAATGTTCTGTATTTGAGGAATAAATAATTATTATTAATTGGGTTATTGGGTCGTGTGTGTTTGGGATTGTTATTTGCTGTTTCGTTAATTCGTTAAATATTTAGTAATAGTATAGCGTAGTAAGGTTTTAATTTTTTAACTTGATTTTAATTGCGTCATGGTTTTCCAGACTTAAAAATACCTGAGACGGGAGACGGAACGGGGCCTTGTTCGTAAGAATTTAGGACGACAACGACAAAATCGGATCCAGCTGCTTGGTGGATTTATATAAGGGTCGTCTTTCGTCAATCATATTGCTCAGAAGAGAAAATGTACTGTTGATATAAGTGTCCGGGGTTGAGAAGAAAGTTTTAAGTAGAAACTAAGCAGATAGATCGATAAGATGGCTGTGGATCAGGTACGGTTTTTTGATATCTCCTGTGAAAAGTGACTCATTTCTTTGATACAAGTTGTAAATTAGTTAATGTTGTTATACTTATTTCTAGGAAATTCAGCAGTTGGAGTTACTCTGCAAGCATTTGTATGAGTCTAGTGATCCAATCCAGCGACAAGAGGCTGAGAAGACGCTTGTAGAATTCCAAGTACGATGATTTTACAATTAATATTTATATCATAGGAGAAATAATTAATCAAGTTGAATGATAATTTTATTTATTACTTTGTCCAGAATTCCCCAGACTCGTTGGTGCGATGTCAATTGCTGTTGGAACGAGCTACTTCCTCATACGCACAACTTCTGGCAGCGACAACCCTGACCAAACTGGTCTCACGACCGACTCAAATAATCTCTTTGCAACAGAGAATTCAAATTCGTAAGTATACAAAGAAATAAAAGCTTTAGTGACGATTTATAAATTTTATTGATTGCTTGCAATTAAATAATAGGTAACTACATTCTGTCGTATTTGGTGACCCGGGTTAAATTGGATGCTTATGTGATTCAATCCCTTGCCACACTTTTTGCTAGGATTACTAAACTTGGATGGTTTGACATGGACAAAGAAGAATTTGTATTTCGTAATGTGATTAACGACGCTAGCACTTTTCTCCAGGTATTCCTTAATTTAAACAATTTATCGTAATTCGTTATCCGCATAGTTCAAAATTTATAATGGCTATTTTTGTCCGCTAATTCAGGGTTCTGTCGAACACTGTACGATAGGAGTTCAGTTGTTGTCTGTATTAACTAGCGAAATGAACCAAGTTTCTGAAGCGGACGCGAACCGCTCCTTGACTAAGCACAGGAAAATCGCGTCATCCTTTCGGGACCAACAACTTTTTGAAATATTTCGTCTCTGTTGCACCTTACTTAAGTCTGCCATTGACAACAGTAAAACTCTGGTGTTGGAAGGAGAGTTACAGGTAAACTTTTGGAAATGAACCATAAGGAATTCTTATGAGTAACTAATCGGCGCATTTATAGTAACAACTACATTGTCTGATTTATAGCAAGCCTTAATGAGTCAACTCTTGCGGTTAGCTCACAATTGTCTCACATTTGATTTTATTGGAACATCCACCGACGAATCGTCAGATGACCTATGCACGGTTCAAATTCCTACAAACTGGCGTCCAGCTTTCCTCGATTTCACAACACTGCAACTCTTTTTTGATTTGTATCACACTCTTCCTCCATCTCTTTCTTCAATGGTGAGTAGCCGTAGATGATTTGGCAAATAATTTATACATAAGTTAATTTGTATGGATGATATTTTTATAGGCTTTATCCTGTCTTGTACAAATTGCTTCAGTCAGAAGATCATTATTTAGTAATGCAGAGAGAGCAAAATTTCTCACCCAACTCGTTAATGGGGTGAAACACATACTACAAAACCCTCACGGATTAAGTGACACAAACAATTATCACGAATTTTGTAGACTGCTAGCTCGTCTCAAATCTAATTATCAGCTAGGAGAGTTGGTCCTTGTTGAAACTTACGCCGACACTATTGCTCTCATTGCCAAGTTTACCATTGACAGTTTGCGGGTGAGTAGTTTTATTATTTTATTATTTTAGTTGTATTGTAAATATGGACAAGTCATTGATTTTGATGAATTGTTCTTATAGCAAATGCTGCAAGTTGCACCCAACAGCGTTCATTACCTTCTAAGTTTATGGCAACGAATGGTAGCTTCTGTCCCGTATGTGAAAGCAACGGAGCCTCATATGTTGGAAACATACACACCAGAAGTGACCAGAGCCTACGTTACGTCCAGAATTGATTCAGTGGCAGTTTGTATCAGGTACGAACTCAATATTTTATCATTTAATGAACACAATCAAAAATGCATATAAAGAAACAATTAAAAACTTTTGATTCGTGAAACAACAGGGAAGGGACGGAAGACCCACTGGAAGACACATCAATTGTAACACAGCAGTTGGAACAACTCTCAGTAATAGGACGGTGCGAGTACCAGAAAACTTGCAGTTTGATAGTGCAACTCTTTGACCAAGCAGCACAAAGTTATCAGGAAATGGTTCAAAGACGAACACCTCCCACTCCGGTTGATCTCGCAATTCAAGAAGGTACATTGGCATTGCACGGCAGATGATTACTTACATTTCGTTGATAAAAACGTGTGCTCACCGTGTTCTAGTACTGTTAAACATGATATTTCTATTTAACAGGGCAACTGACTTGGTTGGTTTACATTATTGGTGCCGCAATTGGGGGTCGTGTATCTTTCAATACAAACGAAGAACATGATAGCATGGATGGTGAATTGGTGTGTCGGTAAGACTAGATTATTCCTCGCAAAGTTAGAATTGCGAAGTTAAATAACCTATTAACAAAATCTTCTTTTGGCAGAGTTTTGCAGTTGATGCAACTAACAGATTCGCGTCTTAGCCAAAGTGGATGTGAAAGGCTGGAATCGGGTTACCTCTCGTTTTTTGAACAGTTTAGAAAGATATACGTCGGAGACCAAGTTCAAAAAGCTTCAAAGGTTTACCGACGACTCTCTGAAGTTTTAGGGCTAACTGATGAAACGATGGTTTTAAGCGTTTTTATACGAAAAATGTAATTTATATATATTTTTGTGACTTTCTGAATATTTGATAATGAATTGAAACTATGTATTTTCATAATTTATTTTTATTTTGACAGCATTACCAACTTGAAGTATTGGAGTCGCTGTGAACAAATTTTATCTAAAACTCTCACCTTGTTGAATGACCTGTCTGTGGGATACAACAGCGTGCGTAAACTAGTCAAATTGGACGAAGTCCAATTCATGCTGAATAATCACACTGTAAGCGAGACACATAGCGGTACTTTGACTAAAAATAAATAATTGTTATTAATTCTCATATTTTATTGTACAGGGAGAGCACTTTCCATTTTTGGGTCTCAATCAAAACGTGAACGACTTACGTTTTAGAACTGTATTTTACACAGCTCTTGGTCGACTGCTTATGGTGGATCTGGGAGAAGACGAAGACAAATTTCATACCTTCATGGTGCCTTTAACTTGTAAGGATTTCACTTGTTGATTTTACTAATAATTTATTACGGTTTAAGGAAAATGTGTAAGATAATTTTGTTATTATATTTTAGCTCAATTAGAAAGCGTTGGCCAGCTTTTAGCAAATGCAGAGACGGCAATGTTTAGATCGGAGGAAGCCAAATGGACAATAGTTGGAATTGCTAGAGACCTCCGAGGAATCGTATTTGCCTTTAATACAAGAACTTCCTACATGATGTTCTACGACTGGATGTACGTTCTTGATCTCATATCAAAGAAAGTTTAAATAACAGATGAAAGTTTAAGAAAATTAATTATTGTGTTGTATTGTTTAGATATCCTGCCTATAGTCCGATACTACAACGAGCCGTAGAGCTTTGGTATCACGACCCCCATGTCACAACCCCAGTGTTAAAACTATTTGCTGAATTATGCCAAAATCGTTCGCAACGTCTCCAGTTTGACGTGTGCTCACCAAATGGAATTCTCCTTTTTAGAGAAGCCAGTAAAATGATGTGCAACTATGGTACTGTCACTTGTGTATAATTGTTCTATGCATGTGTTATATTTTCTGTTACTGCTATTATACTTTTCACTAATAATTGAAACTTACATATTTTATTGTACAGGGAATCGAATTCTTGCCGTTGACGTCCCAAAAACTCAACTCTACCCCTTAAAACTTAAAGGAATATCCATTTGTTTTCTAATGCTGAAAGCAGCTCTATGTGGAAACTATGTAAATTTTGGAGTTTTCCGGTTGTATGGCGACGAAGCATTGGATAATGTTCTCAACTGCTTTGTCAAGCTACTATTGTCTATACCATTATCTGACTTAATGGCAAGTATCTAATTTTAAATTTATATTGACAACATGCAGGATGTTATATTCTTACTGACTTACTTATATTTTTATTTGCGTGATTATTTTAGGACTTTCCAAAGTTATCTCAAACCTATTATGTGTTATTGGAATGTGTGGCTCAGGATCACATGAACTTCCTTGCCTCATTGGACCCCAGCATGTTTCTCTACATTCTTCAGTCTATATCTGAGGGCCTTGCTGCACTTGGTAACACCTACATGTTGCACAAAATGATTGAATGGGGTAAACTAGGTTTTGTTCCGAAATCCTTAGACACTATGGTCTGCGCTGGTTGTTGTGCAACGCTGGACCATATAGTCACATATTTATTTAAACAGTGGACCCTTAAAAGTAAGTCACTCACAATAGTTACTTACTTATATACTGTCCTATTGATACGTGATGAGTATTATATGTTGTTAATTTGATTAGACAAGAAAATTCCTCGTGTCATGCCCATGACAAACAATGAGCGTGTTCTGCAGATTGTGGAACAACATCCAGAAATTCTGCAGCAAATGCTCGCAACTGTATTAAATATTGTGATGTTTGAAGACTGTCGAAATCAGTGGTCAATGTCAAGACCGCTGCTTGGCCTCATTTTACTGAACGAAGAAGTGAGCCCTTAACTAATTCTACTGATTACACTATATATATGTAGTAGTTTTTTTGAGGTTTTACTAACTTATTTATTTCATAATTTGCTTTGTCAGTATTTTGGACAGTTAAGAGAAACTGTGATTCGCAACCAACCCGTAGAGAAACAAGCTTCCATGGCTGCATGGTTCGAAAGTCTAATGGACGGCATCGAAAGAAACTTATTGACCAAAAATCGTGACCGGTAAGTCATGATTTAAATATGTAGTATGTATGACTCTGTAGTAAGTTAATAGTAAATAGCAACGAATTAAACTACAACTGATTTCTATTCTTTTCCAGGTTCACACAAAATCTAACGGTATTCCGACGGGACATAAACGAGTCATTGAAGGGACCCAATACCACTGTTAATGTTAGTGACATGATGACCTGCTGAATATGGCTGGGGGTTTCTGGTGTATGTGAGAGAGAAAGTGCTCTTTGAATACATTGATTTATTGCATGTTTGTGGCAACTACTATCATTTGATTATGAAATTGTACAAGTTTTATAAAAATTTACAATGGAAACGAATACTTTTCAATACACTAGATTGAATAATGAAGATCGAAGTATGGGTGTCAAATTGCTAACTATTTATTTTCACGTAAAATAAACCTTGAATTAGAGTCAATAATTTCAGTCGAGTCATATTTGATAACAGGAACAGATTCTATAATTCATGACATTTAATGATATTACTGAGTTACATCTAAACAAATTCAATATTTTCTAGTTCTTTAGTAACGTCAGAATTTATGTCGATTTCTTCAATAAACTCTTTCATCAGCTCGGTTTTTGGAGTGAAATGATGGTGTCGTTGTTTTGACTTTAGCAAATTCACCTTTTTCTCTGGTATGGATGGATTAAATTCAAACTCCGTGTTTCTTGGGTTAAATTTTTGGCAGATAACTTCAGGAAGCCTGAAAAATAGGTTCGGTTTAATTGGTTCGATATTCGGTGGGCGAATTTTGTTCTCTATTCTCAAAGGGGGCGTCCATAAATCACGTGATCGATTTTTGGACAATTTTGACCCCCTCCCCCCCCTTGGTGACCGTTGGTGATAATTTCGCTACCCCCCCCCCCGCCCCTACCAGTCACGTGACAGATGATGCTATGCTCAAATTTAATCATGTTGTCCGGAATAACAATATTATTCCAGTGTTTTTTAATCATTAATCAAATTAGAGCTACACACATGTGTAAATAACTATTTAATACGCCAGTCAGATATAAGAATTTTAAGTCGAAGCAAGTTTCTAAATATGCAAAATGAAAATCAAATCTATATAACGTGTGTGCGGTATGCCAAGAGAATTTATATATAACTCTCATGACATTTATTGGCATATACAAAACTTTACTCATGTCACGTGACATCTGACCATCTACCCCCCCCCCCTCGTGATAATTGGTGACAAATTTCAGACCCCCTCCCCCCCTCTAATCGATCACGTGATTTATGGACGCTCCCAAATTGAGTTCAGCTACTTACACATTCATCAGTTCTAAAGGCATTTTTTCATTGGGAGACACAAGTGACCTGGCCAGTTGGCTAACCCATGGGTGATAATGCGCCTACAAATATTTATGAATGATATATGTTTGATTACAAAAAATACGTATTAACAATGTTAGTGCAACTAACCATTAACGACGTCATCTCCCACATTGTTGAAGCATTCGCACAACTGTGATCAGGATCTGCTAATTCTGGTAAATAAACTCCACTTGCCCCACCCCCATCACAGTCAAAGAGTACGTTCACAGTAGGCTGCAACTATTTTAGGAAAACATGATATTAAAAAAATTGTCTTCAACATGCAAAATGCAGTCACACTTACTCGCAAAATTTGTTTTAATTCCACTAAAATAGCGGCTGCATCCTGATGCTCCAATTGAAGTGCAGTTGTGGATAATCTCTTGGCGAAAGCTACAGCTCTGGGACCTGGCATCTTGTGTCTTCCAAGACCAAGTCGAGCGCAACGCAGTGCAATTCCAACATCAGTTTCGCCTTTACCTGCGCGATGAATTAACCACATTAATATAATAAAATTAAATCAATAATAAATTAAACAAATGGCGATAAATTCATTACCCAATCGCAAATTTGTCAAAGTTGCATACAAATGTTTGTGGAATGAGGTAGGGTCAAGAGTTAGAGCAGATCCTTGCCCATCTAGAACTGCGAGCACGGTTGAAATACAGAGAAGTATTTGACGCGGTTTGAGATGACCCTCGTTGAGCAATCTTTCCAGAACTTTTAAAATGTCGTCAAAGAAATCAATATTGATTACGTGCGCAAACCTGCACAGCAAAATATGAGTTACATTTCATAATATTTTTGAAACTTTGTTAGAAAATACTATTAATGCCAATACTAACTTTGAAAGCCCTTCCAACACACAAGACAGAATTTGTGAGTTGCTTTCGTTCTTGAGAGCTCGAAAGTAAATGGTGAACACCAACTTTGTAATTTCTGTTAGAAAATGGGACTTTCGTTCCTTGTTTTCCTCTGCAGATGCTTCAAGCAATTCTTTCTCCAGAAGGACAAGATCTTTGGCTTTCTAAAATTGATTAATGCATGCAATCAATTTATTACTAATCTTAGGTTAAATTCATTTACGATTATAAGTTATTACCTTCCTCTGGCGTTTTGAAAGCATCCTTCTCTGTTCAAAAGTAAGTTTTTTTGTCGAGTGCGTTTCTTCCTCTTTCTCTTTTTGTAGGTCTGCTTCTTTAATTCTCAATGCCAGCAGAACATTGAGAACTTCTTGATGAACTACCCGACTGCCTTTTCCAGCCATTTTAGATTTTATTACATCATTTATCCGACGAATGATCTAGATTCAAAACAATTGTAATTAGGAGGTCAAGCCACAACTACAACAATTATTCTCATGGTCCTACCTCATATGAAATTTCTCCCCTCTTGTCTTGTCGGAAAAGCGACTTGATTGAATTAAATACCTTGGTCCGAATCAACGGGTTCCAATTATTTAGGTAAGGAACTAAAAAATTGGCGATATTTGTCGACATGTTAAAATATGGATGACTAATTAGCATTCCACACATGCACTCAAGTGACACAGTTCCAGTACTTGCTTCAGCCTAGAAACAGATGTGCAAGAATAAGGTATTTTTTTATATCTAACTTTCCCCAATACAATCAATATCAAGAAGTTTTGTTAATACTTACATCGCTGAAGGGTACTGGAGGTCTCCGTTTTGGACAAAACTTGCTCACGTAACTCTCTAGCTTTTTCAAGTACAGTTTGTATTTGGACAACAAATTGTTTTCGAAAGTTTGTAAATGTAACGTATCCTTTTTCACTGGAAAAACGGAAGTTATTATGAAAATAATTAAACAGAAATTAATACATCCTTTTGTTGTAATTGTAAAACTCACGCTTTGTTCCTTCAGAGCCGGAGTGCTTTATAGCATACGATGGTAAAACATCTTTAAATATTTTCATCAACGACAGTGCACACAACTTTGGAACTATGAATGAAACTCTGGGATCATTTCCATCCATTATCATCAAGAGTGCATCGAGATTTTTCAACTGGGATCATATAATCACATAGTAATTAATGAACATTAAATAACTACATATGTATTCAGAACACAAATGTTATGCAATGCATACTCTGTTTTGTGGATCTTCAAGGAATGACGCTGACATGGTTCCAATTCTTAACCTATACTGATACAGGGCGTTGGTTCTCTCTCCAATGAGTTTTCCAAAACTGACAAGAACATTCGCCATCGAATTCTCATCACCGTCTCCTCTGTGAGCAGTGTGGTCCGTCTTCACAGCAACCTCTACAGAACGGTCGTCAGCCTCTTCATCTTTAATCTCTTCTCTTTGCGTGTGAAACCCAGATTTTGTTTTAACGGGCAGTAACATCTTGTACTGTTTTTCAGACTCTTCCACCTTTCTGAGTTTTCGTTCGTATTGTTCTTCCAACTCCATCTCATCGTCATCTGTCTTTAGTTTCCTTTTTGTCTCATGCTTTGATTGTCTACAATATTGAATTGATAACAAATTAGTCTCATTCAGGATTAAACTTATACCCAGAAGAACATGTCACTTGGTTCCTTACGAATTCACAAGATATTGCCGGTCTTTAAACTGATCCCCTTTTAAATGAGCCAAATCCTCATCGTCAATCATATCCAAAACGTCTTCCATATTCACCTCGGGTGGTCCACCTGAACACGTTTACTTTTATTTAAGAGCATGGCCCAATTCCAATTACATAATATATATGCATGCACACAAACCTGCTCTATGAGGATTATTCTTATTGTGAAGCTTCTTCCTAATGTCAGATTGAAGTTTACGCCTAGCCAAAACTACACTTTTACTTTTAGTCTTTTTCCCCGAAGACATCTTTCCCCCTTTGATGTTCTTCCTCTTGGCTAGGCTGATACCCCCCTTTTTCGATTTACGATTCTTAGACCCCTATACAAAGAAAAGTCAATTAACATTTAATTCGAAATATGAAATATAAACTCATTATGCAACTCACCATCTTTACGAATAACTAAACGCTCAGCACCAGTTACACCCCTTTACAACTCACTTTTATATGTTTTATTAAAAATATTAAAACCTGAAATTGGAGAACAATACAAAATAACAAGTAAAGCAACGTATGTAAAATCCAGCTCCCAAGTTTCGCGTGGTTGTATTTTCTGCATGTGGTTGTCCAAGGTGGCGGTTGAGCTTGGCGGTGTGGGTGAGGGTTTTTGTCTCCGGGGCAAAGTGGGACCTCTGGCAATGAGTCATGGTCAGCTGATACCTCTCTCACACTGCGCCTCCATCAAAAATACAGAAAGAATAAAACAGTGAGCTGAACTGAAATGACCACAAAAATAATTAATTATTAGGACAAATTAGAAAAAAATTATTAAAATTATAGAAAAGAGTGTTTCCGTTTCGGTGCATTTTAAATCAGGATAAGTAGTAAAACTCTCCCACGACGGATACACGTAATAATACCAAATTTATTACCTATCAATTTTTTGGTGGGTGGAATCTTGTATCTGTATCTTCAAAGTAGTCTTTGACAAAACAAATCAGCGACCAACCCCCAGTTGTTTTTTGGTCTTGTCTCGAAGTGCGAATCATCGCCACCCAAGCTGTGGTTATGGTTGGGAAGAAGGAGACCCCATCCTCGAATAAGCAGCAGCATAAAAACGCTACGACCAATACCAACACAAATACGACTTCTACGAGCACTACCGTTTCGACAACAGATAAAACTCCTACCCCTGTGAGTACCACGGATCAGGAGCTAGAGAAGGACAACCAACTCCAACAAGTTGTTGCAGCCCCCTCTACTGCTGCTAATAACGGGAGCGTGGCGACAAGAACGGTGACGGCGACACCACCACCTCCAAAACCAGCTCCGACAGTACCACCTCCAACAACAGCAGCTCCGACGCCAATCCTCAACAACGTCGCCGTGGTGAACCCTGCACGCGAAGATTTTCGAGCTGGGGGTGGACCTGCGAATCATTCCGTAGACTCGGTCTCCTCCGGTAATGTAAACTTGTCGATGGTTCAATGGTCATACTTTTTTATGATGAAAGTGTGTTAACATTGTTAATGAAATAGTACAGTTTTCACGGTGTCCTTAGGTGCTTTAGACGACATGCCAATCTCGGGGTCGCGTGGTGCTAGCATCCGTGAAAGCCAACCGCTTCTCAGAATGGATGACCTATCTTTACATAACATATTTCCAGGTGGGTAAAATGTCTCCATATCTTCTAGATAGAAATTTTGCTGAGCTGGATTGCATGTCGACCCCATTAATAGAAAATATAAAGTAACCAGTTGGAGTGAGATGAGTGATAGTAATAATAGCTCCAGAAAGTAAGTAGGTATCCTTATTATTTGTATGTATTATGCAAACGATTAGCATCTGAAGAGTTACACACTCACATGAGAGTCCCATTTACGAGGACATGATTTATTGGAATGAGATGCACATAAAACTACAGATCTGGGCAAACATGTGCCTTGGATCATAATGTTCATTTAATAGCCCGTGTTATGATACATATGCATATTTGTACTCGCAGGTAATATTATGGCAGGACAGACAATAGAATACTTCCATTATAAAATTTTTACCCGAGTTTTTGTCAAACTGCTTTTACTTGTAGAGACAGAAGCCCACGAATTATGGGAGGAGTAGATGTGACAGTTTGCAGTAGTATCTTTATTTAATAACACTGTCCGTCATTCCTATTTACAAGCGGTTTTATTTTATTGCTTTTCCCATGCTCAGAGAGCTTGTTAAAAATAACCAAGAAGTTTTTCTTATCTTAACCAGACGACTGTTATGAATCCATGCAATAGGAAGGAACGAGTCCATACATGCTGTGCTTGTTGCATATTTCTTGAATAGATAGACATGACGTTGTGACAAGAAATTGGCTAGTCTTGGAGATGTCTCAGTGGATAAATACTTAATAAAATCCAATCAAGGACCATTAAAAGCTTACAATAGTAATCATATTTACTCCTCATTCTCATGGCTCCCACACACCACCAGTTGAAGTTCGTTAGTTATACATACAAAGTTAGTTAATACGCTCTCATCCTCCCAAATTGATGGGTTTAAGTAGTTTACATTAGCCAATATTGAGCTTTGATGACGTATACTGTTTACGTACAAGTAGTACTTATATACATGCATACACTGACTATGCATTGCTTGTATGATACATTAGGGTTTTAGCGAGCGAGTTAGAGTCGAGTTGGCTTTATTCAGCGTTCCGAGTCTTCCAAAATTGATTTACTCAACTCGCTGACATTACAATATGTGTTCTCAATTGAGGTCGTCTTGTCTATAATATGCTCAAATAGTATAATACACTGTGGTTATCTGTGATGGTGGTGGTAATCCGTATCCCAAGTTCAATGTTTGAAAGTTGAGGCTGCTGATTGTGATTGTGACGTAGAAGCTTTGCAAATATATCAAAGATAAGGATAACAATTTGATCTTGGGGAAAATACATACGTGCTTTATAATAAGGTGTTGAAAATAAGGTGCTCAAAGTAGTAAATCAATAAGAAATAGAAGAAAATAAACAAGTATTTTCCATGCAAGGTTGAATTTAGTCATCATGATATTTTGATATTGTGTGTGATTCGTCATCAACCGACATCATGCTTTCCCCTGCTGCTTACCACGACGATCAAGATTATATCTCACCATTTACCATTTATAATCCAAATGTGATTCCAGACGATCCTTCATTCTCGGACTTGGTTAGACAAACGGAAATCGCTATAGATTGTGGGATTCTACCTGAACGGATCTATCAGGGCTCGTCGGGATCTTACTTTGTCAAAAGTTCTGTGAATGTAAGTAGTTCTTTGAATGCTCTCTTCATTAAAAGGCGTGTGTATGTATGTATTGATTATGCATCGATTAATATTTTCTACTTGTCACAGAAAACGATAGCAGTTTTCAAGCCCAAGGACGAAGAACCTTATGGCCGATTAAATCCAAAATGGACAAAGTGGTTGCACAAACTTTGTTGTCCGTGTTGTTTTGGTCGCTCTTGTCTAGTTCCTAATCAAGGATATTTGTCAGAGGCTGGTGCATCCCTTGTCGATACAAAATTGGAACTGAATATAGTTCCGAAAACAAAGGTTCGTATTACAATAAATAATCTCATGATACTCTTGTAAAGTGCAGTATTTCAAACATATTTTCCTTGTGACTTTTACAGGTAGTCAGATTAGTCAGTGAAACTTTTAACTATGTTAGACTTGATCGAGAGAAGGCTAGAGCTAAGCGGGCCGTAATTGAGCGCTTTCCGTCTCTTGGACGACGTTTCAATCGGATTGGACTGCCACCGAAGGTAAATTAATTTAAAAAATAATTCATTTGAATTAATTTTTCTGACGACATTATTTTTGCTGTAAAGGTTTGCATAGAAGCTTACATGTACGCCGAGTAACTTATCAAAATTGTGTCATAATTTCAGACTGGGTCATTTCAACTGTTTGTGGAAGGTTACAAGGATGCAGACTACTGGATCAGACGCTTTGAAAGTGAACCTTTGGCGGATTCCATTCAGAAGCAATTTCAATTTGAATTCGAAAGGCTTGTCGTGTTGGACTACATTATTCGGAACACGGATCGAGGCAATGATAATTGGTTGATTCGATACGACAAACCAGAAGTGTCGAAAGATACTCCGGAAGAAGTAAGTCATATTGTGTTATTTTCTTCGTAATTGCATTTAATTTCATTTAATACTGATTTTATCTATTCAATGTAGGAATGGGCTTTTGTTAAACCACCAGCAATTCGGGTAGCTGCAATCGACAATGGCTTAGCTTTTCCATTCAAACATCCCGATTCCTGGCGAGCATACCCCTACCATTGGGCTTGGCTTTCATTTGCCAAAGTTCCCTTTAGTGAAGATATAAAAAATCTGGTCCTCCCCAAGACGTCTGACATGAATTTTGTGCAAGATCTATGTGATGATATGTACCTTCTGTTTAAGGTAGTTGATCATAACTTACTGAATAATCTAGTTTATGGTGGCGAAACAATGTGGTATTTTATTGTTCACGCTTATTGTTTTACAGCAAGACAAAGGGTTCGATAAAAATGTTTTTGAAAAACAAATGGGTGTTTTACGAGGCCAGATACTCAATTTGAACCAAGCATTGAAGGACGGTAGAAGCCCAGTTCAGCTCGTTCAAATGCCTTCAGTTATTATTGAACGGTTAGTTGTAATTCCTAATTCTTATATGAAGGTTACATACTCTTTTATAGTTATATGGAAACGTTTTTTAAATATTGCAGGTCAACTGATCAGTCAAATGGTTCATTGCGATCTGTCATCAAACAACGGTTCCAACAGGAGAGTCCTATCTTTTCTTGGTGCTAGTGTGGTGTTTCTAGTTCAGCTTCACTCAAAAATTATATCACAGTGCTAAATTTTCAATTTCAAGACTAAATAACTCCAACCAACGTGCAAAAAAGAGAGGGATCGACTAATTCGTAACACATCAAAATTATCGTGAAACACGTGTATATAAAGAAAATCTGATACGACTTAAATTTTCCTGATTGGTATCTACTTCAGCAAACCCATGACCCCTTACTCTCGCAAAATGCACGCAGTTTTATTAATCAACAATTATTTCGCATATTCGTGTATTAATAGCGCTTACCTCATAAAAATGACACCATATAAATTCCATTTTCTCCACCCCGTCATAATCAATCAATCGCTCATGTATGAAAAATAAGAAAAAACTGGGTTTTAGCAAATACAAAAATATATATTGGGAATACTCCTAGTCAACAGTTGTTGGCTAACCTGTGTGTCTGTCTATACTGGAGACTAGTCTATTTATGTAATTTTTTTACCCCAAAAATGTACTGTAAAATTGCTCTTTGTAACAAAAATGGTATGAAATCTTGCAAATACATCATCTCGCGGTATTGAAAATGAATGCAACAAGAAAAGTTTTTATGGCTTAAAAAGGAAACTACAATAATCGTACATTCTTGCGATTGTGATACTTATAAATATTTAATTTAACCATATTTTTCTTACACAGATACAATAATTAATCTGACACTGTAGAAGCTGTTCACCATGTACCGAGAAACGCTGTGGTTGTGTTGTGGATTGTTACCACTTATTATAATACCTCGTCGTCGTGATCCGCATATACCCTTCGTAGATATTAATTTCAAATCGTATACTTTAAGCCAAATTATGCCAATAATTTGGATTCTTATTTATTCTGTCCTTTGTTGTGTCCGTTTTTGTTTGTATGAATTTAATTAGCTGTATAACTATACCGAACTAAACCACTTGCCTAATTTAATTCCGCTTAATTTATTTTATAGAAATTATTTCAACCTGACCACCTTTATGCTTTAATTCCGTTGTATTACTTAAGATTGTATATTATTTAGCTAAACAAAATACTAGTAATTACGAATTGCCTGCTTATTTAAGTATATAGCTTTCTGTCTACAATATCGACATCAATTTTGCGGTCTCGTCTCTACTAAAAATATATTTGTGTTTAATTGCTATCAATTGATGATGCATCGCTGCTGTTGTACTACAGTCGAAATTGTGGCTAGAAAAGTTTTTGTACGTTTTTAATGTTTACTTGATACATACATATAAGGGCTAAGGGGTAGATACATATAAGGGGTAGATTCGACGTAAAAATATGAAAAGCTATATACAATACATACATGTATCTATCTAATAAAACACGTATGTGCATGGATGATGACGAATTACAAAATGAAAGTCTGGATGCAAACCTTGATTAAAAACATGAAAAATAATAAAATGCAGATTTTCACTTAGCTAAAATACACTTTCATTTTAATGATATGGTTGTACTTGTCGAAAAAAAACCAAGATTGTTACAATTTAATAACTTCATTTCTTCAGTGAATTTACTGGTGTGAGTAATATGCATACATGCACGGATGACGAAATGGCACATGCATTTTTGATAGAATACAATGAGAAAAAATTTGAACGGGACAATAAGACACAAATTTGTCTAATATTCTCCGGCTTTTCCCCAGTCCACACAACCTTTCCAGGTCTCCGAACTCGCCTTCTTCTATCCCCTCGCTTGGCGTATCTGAAACGAATATTAAACGAGGTCAGATTTTAATAGTTGTCTTATTATTATGTGAAGGAACTTTCACTCTTATTCAGTTCTCGCAATAATTAAATGATTATTTTTACGTACTTACATATCAAATCAAACTTATGAGCCCGATTTCCTTGAACGAATGCCGTGGTCGTACTGCTATGCAATGAGACTCAGTGAATGAGTAGTTAGGTTTTGATGGTAACATGGTAACATGCCCTTTCTATTCATCTCAACAATGGCGACTCGACCGGGTTTGAGATGAGCGATATTTATGCACATGACACATTATATGATATGCATTATGAGTTTTATTTTAACTTTGAGCACAAAGAATTTTTATTAATTCCGACATCAATCTATCCTCTTCACACTTGTCCAAAAGTATATTTGGTGACCAATACATTATGTTACGATTACTTTGAAATTTTTATAAGTATTACATACGTTTGCTAGATAAAAATCAGTGGTAGGGATGCAACTATTGTATAAAAAAATGTGGGATGTGTAGTGTATTCCTTCAACTTGCTTGACTCACTGGCCCGAACGGGGCCTTGTTACCACTTTCCAAGTCTTTGTTCACAGATGCAGCTGCTGCAATTTCAACGTCTTCTTCCCCGTCAGAGATCATGTCGTCGCCGCCCTGATGACATTCACCGCCGCTACCACTGCAGTCTCCCTCTGGATCAACATGACCTTTCTCCAGAGAAGAACCACATACGGATACGAGGACATTGTCGGAGGGATCATCTTCAACGATTTGCATCATGTTCTCTTCAAGTTCCTCCTCCTCCTGATCTTCGTCGTCGTGGTCATGACCCTGATGATTCATAATAATTTCTGGCATTCTCACATTCTCATTATCGACATCACCTTCATCATCTTCATCATTCTCGTCCCCTTCACCTTCTTTTTCTGTGCCGACAGTTGACGGAACAACAGAGACTGGGGGTTGGATTCCCCCTAATAGTGCAGTGGACGAAAAAAGATAATGCGGAATGGAAATGGGAGGACTTCGACCTCTTCGTGGTAATTCAACTTCTGCTGCTGTTGCTGCTGCTGCTAATGGCGAGAGCGAAGGATCAGGAGACTTGTGGTTCAAAGCGCTGGCTAAGTGGCTGAGTAACACACTGGTGGGAGAAGGTACGATAAGCGGTTGTTGGAGCTGATTGTGGTGAAGTTTTTGTTGAAGGAGGGAAAAGTCTTCAGCGATAGTGGTGGAGATGGTTAGTTTGCTACTGCTGCTGTTGTGGTGCTTATTTTCTGATAGGGATGCCCCTTCGGACGTGTTCCCACTCCCATGTTCGCTAAGAGACGCGCAGTTTGAGTGGTCATCGCTAGAGTCGATACTCCCAGAAATGCTGAAACTACATTCGGAAGTTCCTGGGAGTCTGCCACCACCACCTGACCCAGCACCAACAGTCTTTTTTCCAGAGGTCCCTTTGCTATGATTATGACTGTTTTTATCCTTCTTTGATCCAGGGCCCTTAGTGGCCATCACTTTGTGCTCGGCAGCTTCTGCGTTGCTAATATTATCCTGTTTTTTCCACTTGGTCCTACGATTTTGAAACCAAATTTTGACCTGGAAACGTACAAAAAAAAGAAACATTTGGTGTCAAATGGTTTTTAATAGTCTCAACAGATTTGAGAGTGGGGAAAGTTTATCAAGCAACGTGTGTGTATTTAACGAATGTGCAGTGTGAATTGGAATCAAGTATTAAGTGAATGTGATGGCTAAACCAAAGCAGAGTACATATTCCCAACAAGGAATATAACAATAGCAAGATAAGATTTGCGTGGTGACCATAATGTCAGTGGGTGGATGTCGTTCAAACAAGTAAGAAATATGCAGCAGTAGGGAAAGAGAGAAAGAGAGGATAGCAGGCTACAAGTGCGGGCTGGAATGGATGGAGCGAGGGCTGGAGGAAGTGAGTTTTCTCTTGTCGTAAGAGTTTGTTGGCCAAGAAATATGGCTATTATGTCGTGCATGAACTCCATTGGACAGATTGGTGAAGTCAGATCTTCCATTATTTCTGGATATTGATTCTTTCCTTCTTTCATCCCTGGCCAGCCAGCCACCCAGCCAGCAGCCAGTCTAAAGGAATGTGGGACCATCTGACCGAGAAGAAGTACTATGTGATGCGATGTGATCAGATAAAGCGGTGATGGTGGTGGAGACAAAACTCGTTCTCTGATTAACTTGGACGACTTGTAAGCTAAAGCTGGCTCTCTCTCTCTCCTGCCGAAGAAGAGAAAGCATTTACCTATTTCGCCCTCTGCAGATCTGAGTTGTTGTTTGGATTAAGGATGAAGAGAGAGAGAGAGAGAGATTTGCTTTTGCTTTCTCTCCGTTGGGTGTATGTACATAGGATGCAGCAGTGTTTTTGGTAGTGGTGGATGGATGGATGGGTGGAAACAGTCAAAGATGCAGTCCCAGAGGAAAAATCCTCTCGTTTGGCCAACTCTTTCTTTCTTGCCAACATAATAAATGTAACCGACTGTGTGCGATCAATCGATCGTCTGCTCTTCTTTACACTCGCATTTGGTGCCCTTTCTTTTTTCTCTTGATACACAATATGATCGTCACAATCCTCTGCTTGGCTTGTTTCTGCTACCTCTTCAACTTTTAAGCCAAACATCCTCACTTGGAGCAAAATGCGAGGTCTGCTGACTCTCTGCAACCAACCACTTTCTCTTTTCTGATTCTCCAACCAAACTCTGCCAGTCATATCTCGGATACTTTTTAGAGATCTCGATCTTTCTTTCCTCCGTCCCAGCCGATACAACAACTCGCTGCTGCTTCAAAAAATGATCCGAACCGCACCACTTACTTATCCCTTAGTAATCCTTGCAGGAAAAACTTTCATATCTTGACGTGTCTCTCCTCACTTGACGACCCCGTTCAAGTGATTCCACTCCCATGGAAAATTAATATCATGCAGTAGCCGAGTTCATATAGAGCCGAGTTACGCAATTTTGGGACATTTCACTGACACCAAAGAGAGAGAGAGATCATCCTCAGAGTTTGCCATCTACATACACACGTTTTGAAATACCTCGTCCTCTTGCCCAATTTTTTCACATCCTATTCAGCAACAACCTGCGTGTGCATGCTGTAAAGCAACCCTGCACTTTTTGAACGGTGTAGTAGATACAACAAAGAACGCATGTCATGATAAATATGAAGGAGTTGTTTGAAACATGAATACACACTTGACGGATGGTTATTATGGAGAACCTAAGTGCAAGTAAGCAACGCATGGATCCACGCTGGTTTGCTACTGGGTGGCAATATCAATTCAAGAGACAAAGTGGAACGTCTGTAGCAACCGCAATGGGTTGAAGTGGAGAGAGAAAGAGGAGGGAAAAGTGTGGAGAATTAGAACTGATGTTGCATATAATGTGCGAGCATGTGAAGTGAAAGTGTGGATCAAGACGTGGCAGTGGAGGGAGAGAGAAAGAGGAAGGAAAAGATTGAGAAATGCTCTGGAGATGAGGATGGATGGAGTGTGGAGGAAGCTCAACTACTACGACGACTACGACTACGAGGAGGACATGGCTTATTCATGAACATGAATTTGAGGGGAGCTGCTTCTGTTGCTGCACAATATACACAACTAAACCAGTCAACCATGCAAGTACATGTGCCCGCTGCCTCCATTTTCATCATACCTTATGCATGTAAGCATTTATAATTGTTGCGACCCCAAAAACTCGTACAAATACTTAAACAATTCAGTCTCTGAAACTCAAATAAGTATGTAGCGTAATCATCCTCCAATTCTGGAAGGAGAGAAAGAGCAGCCAAATATATGTTCACGTCTCATTGTAAAAATCAAATCGGCTTATGCATAGCCATCCATCCTCTCTTTCCCTCCTGATTTAGCATAATTGTTTCTAATGATGAGTAGTAGTTTGGAGGAGACTATCCAAACAAACCAAACCATCCAAGAGAGTTGTATTCATTATTCACTTGGGTGAATCAATAGCCACGAGTTTGGGAGCGGGAGCAAGGGGGGAAGATTGACAATAACCCACGAACCAGTTGTGCTTTCACAATCAAACCCATTCACTCCTTTCGAGATGCAGTGATTGAATAAAAGTAAAAGTTGTGTATGGTGTACACAGTTTCGTCAGAGCCGCATCAGGGGCTAAAATCATAGTCTCTCTCTCTCTATAGGCGATGATTGAGCAGTTGAGACAATGACGACGGCTGAGACGACCGTGCCAAGAGCTGTGTAATAGAGGTTGATGGGCAATCCTGCCTGGTCGGCCACTACGTAGGAGTAAAAGTAGCAGCAGCACGAGTTGAAGAAAGGAAGGTGCCATTCATTGGATCAAAAGTTGAAGGTGGAGCAAGTTCAGCGGAAAAGTAAGTGAATCGAGAGTAGTGAAAGAAGGGAAAAAAATAAAATAAAGAAAGCAGAAGGAGGGTAGCCCATGGTTTGTGGATGAGTGAGTGAAAGTCCACCACTTCACTCACTCTAAGGATGTGGATAATAGTAGCAGTTGTAGCAGGAGGAGCATTATATTAAAGCCAGTCATGGCAAGTATATCGTAGGTTGGATGATTCGGAGACAACGATTCTGATCGTGAACCAACCAAGTATTATACATTTTCCGCTTGATTGCAGTCAACATGCAGTACACACGGTGTTCATGCGGTTTTTGCTATTTGCACTCGCCACCACCAAGAAGAAGACCAACCAGTGAGATGGTAATCCATACCACCACTTAATCGCTTTCCTTCCCTGCTCCATGTATTTACAAGAGAGGAGGAGAAGAACACGCTGTGCTGTTACCAACGGTGTGAGAAGAGAGAGAGAGAGAGGCGATGAAGGTAATACCAGAGCTTAACTTGGCGTTGTTGCTTGCTGCTCTACACACACACACAAAGTTTACTCGAGACTTTATTATCATCGCCATCGAAGAACGCGGGCAGCGAGGTAGGAGTGGTGGTCTTGGTGGCGGGTGTATGTAGAGAAAGTTGTCTCCGCAAACAATCACTCGACGCCACACTTTACGACTTTCTCTCAAAATTAGGTAGGAACAGCTACTGCCACTCTTCATCGTGTTGGAAATTACCATTTGTTGTGCATATCATAACAATCAAGAGAGAAATGGGACTGCCAACCAACCCAGTGCAAACAAGGTATTGAATGAATCAAGGTGGGAGAAACTACGAGCTCATTACTTGAAAGGGAAAGGTAAGTTTTCCCAACTCGCAGGAACGACGACCACCAGCGAACCACTAACAACGAACTGCTCTGTTCTGTATACACAAAAGCCACTGCCTGAAATGGGCCAGAGCAGGGCGAGCAGTTGTGAAGAGGGGACGGAGAGAAAAAGTTGTGAAGAGAAACGTTTGAATTTCTTGGGAGAGACAGCCACATGCTCCAACAGGCAATTAGTTGAATTCGATTGTGACGTGGATGAAATGACTGGTGCGGTGGTGGTTGGCAAATGAATTGCTTGGAGACGACGATTGGAGCCATACACATGGAGTGGGGATATGGCTGGGAAAAGAGAAAGGGGCGATTATATTTATGAAAGAGAGGAAGTAGTAATGCTGCCGTGGTAAATTGCGGCAGGAGAGATAGAGTCAAACTATGGAATCCTTCGAGTTGTTACAAGTAAACGTGAGCCAACGGGATTCATCCACAAGGGAATGAATCAATAGAATGAGATCTGCCGCTGGGTAGTAGACTGCTGCCCAAAGTTTGAGTTTATACCACGAAACTGCGGTATTTCTCTAGATTGCGCTGACACGCTTCCTTTCATTTTGTCGATAGTAACTGACTGCACCACCAAAAAGAGACGAACGAACGAACGAACGAACAAACGTCCACCACGTTCTACGTTCTAAACTTGGCCCCACAATCCCACGTTCTCTCCCTTGAAATGGAGAGAAAGCGAGGAAAATGCAAGGAAAAGTGAGAGATGTATCCGCTTTAGTCAAACTAACCTAAACCGCACACCAAGTGAACCAGAGAGAGACGATCACGAATTGCTAGGCACAGATTACAGTTTCGAGTTCTGCTCAGTAAGAGCCACAACTCTCTCCTCTCCTCCACTACTACTGATCTCTTCACCATGCATATTTCATACTTGGCAACATAACAAGCCCAGTAACTGCACAAAACAGTTCACTTAGCGTCACTCGATAGCAGGAGCAGTACGATGGCAGAGAGTTTCTAAAGAAGACCCCAACAAGCTACGTACTAGATAAACCCCCCACCAACCCTCACTCACTCTCTCTCCATCCAACAACATGCCCTAGTCAGCACCTTATTAGGCGACACACACTCCACTCCATCGTCCAGTGAAAGAAAGAAAGCAAACATGTTGGTGGGTTGGCGAGAGAGTTGTATAATATTTGCTGCTTGCTCTGATTCTTCTGCTGCCTGTCAGAAGTACTTCTCAAGTTTTCCTTGCATCATCATAATCATCACGAAATCATGAAGTGCTTGGCTTGGCGGAATTGAATGAATGAGGACTAGACGGACAGATGAAGCCATAAAGTAGCGAGTCGAAACCGGGTGTGGAGAGAGAAAGGCAGCCACTCATTGTGTGTGTATGTGTATATAATGTCCATATATCTACAAGTCGGAGGGCAAGAGTGAGTGGTATGTACGCAGTAAGCAAGAATAGCATACGATGAAAGCTCGGGAACAAGTCAGAGTAATAATTCCACCGCTGAATGGCTCAACTTCTCTCTCAACTTTCATATCTAATTTGTTTAAAGAAGGAACTCCCTCCTCATCCGCTGAGAAATTCTCCCCACTAGTCAAACGAGACATTTTATCACACACACTTCTTCTCCGACTGCTACTTTCTCCTCTCCTCAGATCAAACTCTGACTCGAGAGCACAGTTCACAACCACATTATCATCATAAGAACGACGGCTGTGCTATATATACATCCCACCAGACTAATTCGGCTCAACTCGAACCTTATTTCCAGACAGGTCTCTCTTTCTCTCTGCCTTCCATCCATCCCTACAGCTCCCTTTGACTCGACTTCTTGCAACAAAATGCCAATTGGCAACTCGTTTATTTGCCGACGTGTTACCCGCTAGGATGCCTCTCTCGCTCGCTTAACGGTTCATTAATTGAATACTTCCTGCATGGATGTTATTTCGCCCAGTTTACACATGGGTAAATAATATCAGAAATGAGAGTACCACTGGAGTGGAAGTTTTGTCACTTCCCTGCAGCAGGTTACAGAGAGTTTTAGTTACATACGTGCTACATACGGCAGCAGAACAGCAGAGAAAGAGAAAAGGTAGTCGTGGCAGTGAGACAGATGAATGCTCATGAATGGCACTTCATGTATACGAGTAAAGAGAGAGAGAGAGAGGAGACAATCGCTGGCTGGTTGGATGATGATCGCAAGGAAGCAACCCCCTCGGCTGGAAATCCATCATGAATCATATCGACTTGAAACTGATGACTCTGCAGAGTTGGGATGACAATAGTCTTCCTAGAAGACAAGGATTTATACGTATCGCGGCCCAAGCACCTCATCCCCTATCACACGCTCCGTCTAAATGACAGCATTTGTCCATTCGATCCTCCTCCTAAAGCAACCATTTCTCAAACAAATCCACTGACATTTCACTAGGAATTGATGCAACTTTTCAGGTCATTTGGGACAATGAGAGGAAGAAGAATCTGACGACGACGAGGACTAACTTCCATCTCCATCCACCACTGCAATCCACCCCACCGGCTCTGCTACTTTGCTTTACATCACTAACAACCAGCCTGCTCCTGCTCCGACAGAATAAATGAACAGTTTTGATTGCGAGTCGTCAAACTACCATCTCCTGGATTTAAATGATCTCCAAAGAATCGTCAACTTCTCATCATCATCAAAATAATCATCCTTGCGACATGGCCTGCTCCTCTCCTCTCGTCATGAACTCGTCATGGCATGTCTCTCACTTTTACCAAATGCACATACACACACGCACACATACTCTCGTATTCATCCGGCCAAATATGTAGCCGGAACTGGGAAATCTATTTACATGTTTCACAACAACGATTCATCCGAATCACTTGGTTTTTCGAAAAGGAGCTCATTCAGCAGTTCATGCGTATCCTTGAACATTGAGACAATTTCTCCACGGTGGCAGACAGGAAGTTAAATTTCCATCAGTCAATTGCAGTCCTCACTGACTCTCTCTTTAAAATGGTTTTTCTTTTTCAGAGAGAGAGAGAGAGACGGAAAAAGGGAGATGAACTTTTACAAATCCTGTCAATAATGACTTTCACAAAAATGTGGAGTGTCATACTGCGCCTGTTACTCATTCACAATTCCTCAATACTCATCAATTCTTGAATAACTGGGATCTGGATTACACGCATTGACACCCTTCGCTTATCCGGGAAAACATCATTTTTAGTATGTGGGTGGATTTGAAAATATTCCAATAATATAATTGAGGCCTCGGCAGAACCTCGACATTACTTAATTACTTGCTTATTACATTCAAATTATTTTGATATGCATACTTCCATCCCCAGAAATATTTCAAATATTCCAATATTGCTACATTCCTCCAACTTTGCGACGACTCACACATAGATATCGATCAAGATACATCTCCCTTCCTGCTCTTGTGCACTTTAATGATAAAACCAACATTTGTTTTATACTTTAGTCCCTAATAAGGACTCCCTATCCACCCAATCTCTGTGCTCTTCGGGGCAGTCATTGAACTCTAGGTGAATGTGATGAAATATAAGGATCGTTCCAATCAAGAACATTTCTGCTCTTATGTCCCATAACTTAATGCCCGTGTAAGAGGACGACCGGTCGACGAGGCCGACCTGTAATCTATCATCCTTTCATATGTCGACGACCACGACACAAATTGGAACCTTCTTCTGAATCAATCGGATTTTTTCTCTCTCTTTTCTCAAAAAAAAAACTCTGGACAAACTTGTATGGATTTCAACTAGATTGATATTTCATAAATCGCCCCATATCACAATTTTCTAAGGAGGGTTACACTCAACTGGAGATGGGGCCTGAGATGGCAGAAAAGCCGAATTTATCATGGATGATGTATGTATACCGTAAACCACAGAGCCATCAAGAATAAGGGTGAACCTTGGTCACGGAGAAAGTAAAGCACATCTTGACCGAATCTTTCATATCAGAGATGGGAAAGTGCCAGTGAACCAAGTGAGGAGTGGAGGATTGTGGCGAAAATGACACACGAAGAGAGAGAGAGAGAGAAGAAAGATAGTGAATCCTTAAGAGTTGGTTGCATGTTATTTTAACCATGTAGAAGTAATAGTAGCAAAATCCTTAAAGTCTTCACTCCTTCCAACTCAAGTGCATGTCCACAGCATCGTCAGTTTGCAAGTAGTAGTTTAAGAGCCCCACGGAGTACGAGAGACTACTTTGGAAAGAAGAAGTTGAACATGAGCAATATAGACATTAATCGGCACGTGGATTTTACTACCCCACCACCACGACCAAGCTTCGGCATGCTCTATCTATCCATCTATCCATCCTCCTTTCTTTCTTCCTCTCATCTCTCGCTCTCTCTCCCAGCAAGAAAGTCACCTAATCTCTTTCACTCACAGCTTCTCAACATTTTATAACCTCCTTAATGGATCTCGCCATACTTGACGTCACCCACGTAACCCAACTTACATGGAGGACTTCCACATTTTGCGACATATGAGGCAGCAATTTAAAACTAGATGACTTATCCCTGCTGCTGCTGCTGAATAATTAAAAATCGTATCCAATATCCATCCAAAATAAAGAGAGAGGTGAATCAAATCACATGAAAATTTGCCATTTGCTGTAGCACAATGCAACAAATGAGAGCAGAATCCAATTTCGTAAATGGAATATTTAGAAAGAGAGAGAGAGAGGCATTTAGAAAAGAAAGTGAGCGAGATTACAAAGTGAGAGTAGAAAAGTGGAAAGTACATACGATGTGACAATGTGAAGTAAGTGTTAATTCAATCCGTGTTCCTTCTCAAACTGGGAGAGGAAGAAGAAAAGGAGAGGAGGAGGAAGGAACAAGAGACGTGTAGATAATTAGATTAGATTGCTTGCATGGATATTTTGAAGCGAAGCAGTCATAACGTCGAACGTGTAACAATAAATTTATCCGAGAGAGAGAGAGAGAGAAAGCTGCAGAAGAGAGAGAAAGATGAAGATTTAATCTCATCCTCATTCAAATGAAGAATAGAAAACGGCTTTTTACGAGCCAACGACTGTGCAGAGTTTTCTGCTGTTGAAACTCATCTTATTTTCAAAATGTAATTCCTCACTCACTTTTCTTCTCCTGTAGCAAGCTGCATATCATCATCGCATCACTTGATGATGGGAAAGGTATGGTATGGTCGCCTATCACTTTATGCCGTCGTCGTCGGGGGGTGGAGTAGTTTTTACATGCAAGGGCCAAAAAACTGCTCCCATCCATCCATCCAAGTGAATATTCATCCCACTCCCTCCCTCTCTCTCGACAAACGTTTCACACAACAAAAGCCAAAACTCGACGGAGGAGGCAGATCAAAATGTGGAGCATGCATATCTGCACAAGAAAGAATGAAAAGGGAGAATGATGATAAGTGGAAAAGTCTTAGACAACACTTGTCAAAAAGAGGAATTGATGACAATAAATGAGAGAGTTGTATGTACGGAGTAGCAGTGGCGGTGGTTTTTAGACTCTTATTTAACTTTGGACGCAGGCAGTGGGATACGAAGATGCGGATCGAGAGGAAAAGCGAGCCAAGAAGGGCGGAAGAAGGGAACTTTCTTTCCAAACGGCTGGAATTTCTTTCTCCTATCTGTCAACCACATGCGTACGGTTTGGAATGCTACTACATACTACTCCTGCCTGCTTTGCATGATGAGTCACAAGGAGAGGAACAAGGGGTTGCGTGTATAGGGCGACGACGACGAAATTGAAGACAATGATGACACATTCACATACCTGAACCTCCGTGACGTTGAGGATGCGAGCCATCTCGGAACGCTCGGTACTTGACAAATACTTCTTAATTTCAAACTGTCGCTCCAACTCGTAGATTTGTTTTCCTGTGAAAGTCGTACGAGCCTTCTTCCTCTTTTTGCTATCGTTTGACGATCCATTCTCGAGGCTGGGAGAAAGCAGAGTTGTGTTGTGCGTTGGAGTTGGTGTCCCCGCTTCGTCCCCGTGAGTGGTGTCGATACTCACAGCGAGCATCTTGGGACTTGGACCACCTCGGCGGTCTTTTGCTTTACGCTTTGTGCTCGTTTTCAGGTTGATTGCACCGCACCCTGTGGACACACAAAAGATTGGACGTGAGCATGTTCAAAATCCATGGTGGGTAAATAATGACAAACGGTACACATTTTGCTATTAATCGATTGTGTAAATGATGTATGTTTCAGTAGAAGCCTTGTATTACTTATTATGGGAGTCGACTCTCACTGCAAATTAGTGCAGTGTGGTGGTGGTGATGGTGGTAGGTGATTGGTAAGTGAGACGCATTAAATTGTTGGCCACGTCATGAAATTGGAGAAGCTAGCGTTACAGGAGAGGGGCACAACAACAAGACGACGCATTTTACACGGGTGATGAGGTGGTGGTGGGTGAGTGCCATTTAATTCAGTAAAATTGCTCCTTTATCATTCTCATCAGCCCATTTAACTAGACGACGACGAAGGAGAGAGAGGAGCAGAGAGCATGTAATTATCGTCTTTCTGGCTGGATATGAGAGAGGAGAGAGCAGGACGGAAATGTGGGATAATAGAAGCGTTAAACGGCAACTCTCGCTCTTGCTGAGCTACACACACCCTTTGGACATGGGCCAGGACCATTTACCACACACACAAAACTGATCTTGTGTCCTCATTATTTATTGTGCCTCATCATCACTCTTACACAAATCCATTCAACTCTTAAAGCTTCCGATGCCATTAGCCGCCGTTTCAATTTACACTTAAGCACGACGTCGACGACGACAACGACGACGACTACTAAAGTAAAGCCAAAATCTACTAATTCACCACAAGCAGGAGCAGCAATTGCTTTTACATGGCCTCCTCCTCTATTATTTCCCTCGTAACTCTTCCCCCCATGAATTCAACGACTTATTTACTTATCTCACTCAAATTTCTAACCCTGTCATGTCACCAAAAAAACTACCCAATATTGATCATTACGAGGTTAACATTAAATGCGTACTGTTGACTAGATAACTTTTTGAAATGCGTTTTCTTACCTTTTGACTTTGTCCCATTTTTTAAGCCGGTACCCGCATTGGTGGGGTGCTTAACTTTCGGGATAATTACATCATTTGGAAGTAGAGGTCCATTGTTGGGAGATTTGTTTCTGTTCATAAAGAGGCGTCCACTACCATTCACGAGTCGATTGTTGTTGTTGTTGTTGGTCTCGTCAGAAGAGGGGGACGGCTCTCTCTTGACCACTGTGAGATTAAGGGGTTCATCGTCCAACTGCATGGTGGACATTGGTTGTGGGCTAGGCGTCGTAGCTGCCGGAATAGAGGGGGACATCGCCATCGGATCGTCCATCATTGTTACCATTTCCGCCGTCGTAGTCGTAGTCGTCTCAACTTTCTCCTCCTCCTCGTCGTCGTCATCTTGATCTTCTTGATTTTCTTCTTCGTTAGCAGATTCTTCATCCGCTAGCCCCAAAATGTCCTTGATTGTGAACGGGGTTGGAACATGGAGAGGCTTCGAGTATTCTGGCACTGTCTGATGCCACGTAGTTGTGAGGGTAGGATCAGAATAGGACTCCATTATCATGGCCAAGTTGTTCTTCAAGTCCATCGGTCCATTGTTGGGGGAGAGAGAGTTACCATTGGTCATGATGGTAGTTGTGGGGATGGAAGGGCTTGTCGTTATTCGTGGTGGTGGCGAAATGCTACCATTGTCTTTACGACGATGGGAGAAAAGGTCTCCGGGAGAGATTTCCTTCATCGTGAGTTCATCCATGGGAGGAAGATGCAGTGAGATGGAGAGAGAACAGGAGTTTTACGCTCCGAGAAGAAGAACACAAACAACTCATGAACAAAAGTCACGTACTTTCATTCTCCTCCTCGTTAAACTTTTACTTTTGTCACAACTTGGCCATGGTCACGAGAACTCTTTTCTTTTATTAAGTGGACACATCTGGGCAACACTTGGCCAATTAGGGAGGGAGGGAACGAGACAGAAAAATGAGTGTCCCCTTTAGTCACTTTATTGGCCGTACCTGTAATCGAATTAAACCATGGTCATTACAAGGAATTAGTTAGAACGTGTCTGCTAATAATACTGATTTCATTACAAATAATGCTACCAAAAAGGATAAATTTTCCCGACTAAAACAACAACTCGGAAAACAAAACTTAGGAAAAGTAGCCATTTCCAAAACCTGTACCGCTTCATTGTTTCGTAGAAATCGAACCGAATTTAATAATAATAATAAACTCCACCAAGAGACTGTCAGCAGCATTCATGTAATGGTCATATCACTGACTGGCTGACCAATTCTCGAGACCTATGTATTTGTTGTTTGAAAACATAATCCGTTCACAATGAGCAACATAATCCATGCAAAACAGTCGACTGGATATAATTCCACATAGACTGATGAAAACAGAGAAAATAATAATTTAATACAATCCGCTCCTCTTCGTTTCATTCAACATATCGTTGAGCCCACGAGTGAGGGAGACAATAATTCTGGAACATGAACTAAACCAACCAACCAACCAGGTAGACATTTCATTCACTCACTCTCTCGCTTCCAATTAATTAATATCTGTCTCGCAGGCCCAAATCCAGATCAGACCTTTTGAATTAAATGCTTTGTACTCTTCCAGCGAGGGACTCCCTTTCTCTCTCTCTTTTAAACGTGAACCGTCATCAGTCATCCTCCATCCACAACATTCTTGATCATCCAGGAGGACATTTCAACAAACGCAATGTGTAATAACAAACTCGCTCCTTCCGTCGGACGAGTTTAGCATTAAGTTGGATGAGTCCGGAGATGGATTGAATCACAATCGTTTAATCACTCAGCTCGAGCAGCAGAAAGCAAAGTAGTAGGAATGGAGAATAAATAGAGAGAATTGTAACTAAAGGGGAATACAATCCAGCAGCAGAAGGAGATGGATAGTTAAAGTGAATCCTTTTGGATGAGACATACATATTAAAGCATCATGCACCCAAACTCCTCTCTCTCTATAATCCCATCCGACTACAAATCTAAACTTAATGGTGAGGTACTTATTGTGTCCATTAGAGGTATTAGGTAAGCATGTAGTTCGGCTTCGTTCTCTACTATCCACTTATTCATGTCGACTCCATGAGGTAGTGTCTCTTTTATTTCTTACTTGCTCCATTTCATCTCTGATCTGATCCTGTGTGAATGTATGCATGTCTTTTTGGACCATTTAAAAATACATCGTATCCAACAACCAAACTGTTACTTCCATCATCATCATCATGTCTGCAATGTGTGTGTGTGTGTGTGTAGAGGTGACAAGAGTCAATGCAATCCACGCCTAAATTATCTCTTCCTATACTGCCTGGGAAATCCATTTACTAATGGGATGATGCGTTTCTTGGTCTCACAGAGGAATCTCTCTCTCTCTCGCTGTGAGTAAATAGGGCTGGGTAATTTGTCATGTGTTATTTAACCATTTATTTATTCGTCACTCACAATTCTTATTCCAGTTTAGATCTTAGAAACTGCAGTGCTTAAGTTACAGTAATCACCACCACCAGGGAATAAAATGGTTTCGACTTTTCCGCTGCCAACTTTGCCCAACTTGACGAATCATTCATCAGCCAAACATTTCATTTGCTGTTAATTTAGAAACGATTAAATTTCATCATCAAGCCCTGATTACGACTGATTGTATGTTGCGACACGTTCGTTTTTTTCAGAGAACATTTGCATAAAAAAAGTGCTATCTTGTCTCCTCTCTTTTTTTCAATGGGACGTTGTCTGTTAACTTTGCTGATGACGAATCTCTTTTAGGAGTACGTACATTCTTTCTAATCCTTTTTGAAAACTTTCCACTTTTCCAGCAGCTGTCTCCAAGCTTCTATATTATTCACTCCAATGACCTGCCAAATCCTGATTATTGTTGACTATATGGTCTCACGGAGCTAGCGGGACAAGATTTTGCACAGATTTATTATTTCGTTAGTTCATCGGGAAGAAGAGGCGTCACGGCGCAGTGAGTGTTATAATAATGCCAAAAAGTTTGTCAAGAGGTAAGTCTGCTCGCTCATGGCTCATATACTTGAAACTTTGTCAATACCTCGTTTAAGAAACGGGCTGGTGGGGCACCCACCACCGTTTGATGCCATTACAAGTGACAAGTTTTCATCATCATCTCAACTAACTGCCACCCCCATACAACAAAAGTACTTAACACTGTCACTGTGGATGATCCGTGTTTACAGACCACTTTTGAGCACCATTTATTTACCAACCGCAGTAGCAGTAGTGGGGTAGTAAAGCAGTAAAGAAAATCAAATCAAAGGGGGAAATGGTCAGAATGGAGGAACATTGCTCGTCTTGCCCACACACACACAAATAATAGTTCCAGCCAGGGAAAATGTGCTACATATATGTATAGGAGAGGCAGAGTTGTATATGTTTTTGCCCCGTTTCCTTTAGATACCTCATCTCCCATATCATATCGTGCGGAGCGCTATGAAATGTTTCAAAGCGGGGTTGACAGACTCGCTTCCAGTTTTTATTTCGACATTTTTCAGCCTGGATCTGCGAGTGTGAGACGAAGAAAGAAAGGACGAGAGAGAGGAGATAGCTGCAGCAGGAGCCGGAGAAGAAGAAGAAGAAGAAGCAGATGTCGATGAGGATTCGAGGAAGCAGAACGGTTCAAAATGTTGAAATGCTCACATATCATATCAAATCCCCTGATGGATCATCGCATCATGGATCTCCTGCATGGATGGAGGAGAGGAAAGAGAAAGCCATGTCCTGTGTCAAACTCTTCTCCTCTCACATTCCACGTCCGCTCAAATATTATTTATTTTCAAAGGGACACCATGTTCAACATCGATAAACCATTATATATGCTCCCTTAATGTGGAGGAAGCGCGACATGTGAGATATTTTCTAGACGACGACTACGTACTCGTTCGGTATACGGATGAAAATCCATGAAATGTCCAACGAGAGAAAGAAAAGGGTAAAGAAAGGAAGAAAGTGTGTGGGCTGAGTTGGACGGAATGGTCAATCTTCGATTCCTTAACTTGCTCTCTCTCCAACACTTTGCTCTGTCTGGTCTGGTCTTCTCCCTCATTGAGAAACAAGTCGTGGTGGCGAGTTACATCAAACTTCTTGTACCAACTCTCTCTCTCAGACTTTGAATTTGAACTCAATTCGTTTACAAAACTATTGGAAAGGAGGACTGTGTGCGCGGCTTTCTCTCCTCTTATGCATGCACAACTCAAAAATCAAAGAAGGAAAGCAATGTTTGGTCCAACACTATCCAATCCATCGTTTAGATCATCACACATTTCACTCGCCACCCACCACCACCACACCAATAACATTTCTTGAACAACTTGACAAAGAGTTGGTTCAACACACGCACTCACTCATGGCTCTGTTCTGATCGTGAAGATGCGGAATCAAGAAGAGAAAAGAGTTGCCTCTCACTGACTGGCATGAGTACATATTACGTGATATACATACGTGTGGATATGTCCTGGTGGTTGGTTTATAGGTCCTTCATATATATTTACTTGCCCAATTTAGAGTCAGACTGCTATATCTACTCTTCATTCGCCCCCAGCCATTTCATCAAGGAACCAAAACAACCTCATTGTGCACATCACAAGAGAAAAGAGAAAAGATTCCATCCACTTGCGTACGAGGACCGATGAAGCAAAATCAATGAGCTCAGCCAGGGTATTCCGACCTGGGTTTTAATGGGTTGGGTTTTATTGGGTTTTAATGGGTTTTAATGGGTTGTAAATGAATAAAACCCGCTGGGTTTTACCATGTTAAGTGGGTTTTATTTGGGTTTTAATGGGTTTTATTGGGTTTTAATTGAGTTTCACCTTAAAACTACATTCTAGAAGTTAAATACATCTCCTATACGTTAGAAGGCGTTATCTCAATTCATTCTAAAGTAGTCTATTTCATTACTATTCTAGTGTATGAAAATTCGGAACAAATCAACAATTGACTCCATCCTTTACCATCACAGATTTCAAGTGTTATAAAACAAAAATAATTTCCGAATAGATACAAATTCCGAATTATTTTTGTTAAGTTATTACTTAAAACTAATAAAACCCAATAAAACCCATTTAAACCCAATAAAACCCAATAAAACCCATTAAAACCCAAATAAAACCCAATTAACATGGTAAAACCCATTAAAACCCATGGGTTTTATAATTTTTGATTAAAACCCTGGGTTTTTCCGAACCCTGGCTCAGACACAGTATGCTTCAACGAACGAGCGAACGAAACAAGGAACAAACACGTGTTAGTCATGATGTATACATTTTCAGTCGAGAGAAATTTGGATATGAATTAAGTGAGGGTTTTTTTCCTGAATGTGTGCACCCTATGTGACGGCCCATCAAGTCATTGAATGTTATGTCGTCGGATCTAATTAATTTTTTGATTTGCTCGTCGGGCCTGACAGTTTTCGAGGCAAGTAATCAAATGCATATCGCGGCGGACCTGCTGCTGCTCCTGCTGCAAAGTCGTCATAACTAGCAAAGGAATAAACCATTTCTCTGGCTTGAATCGGGATGAAATTAACCCATTTTGTCCTCCTCTTGGTCGTGAAAAGTGATGTTTGCCACAGCTTTTACATTCACACGGGTTTTTGGAGAAAGGATGAGAGACGAGTTTTGGACGAGTAGGATGATGATGGGCATCCACTTAATTGATCGAACCATGTAGTAGGATTTTGCTTGCTTGTTACTTGGTCTCCGCGTGCAGTGGGTGGACTTCAATTCATATCACAATCACAGTACTACTGCTTCTTCCTACTACATAACAAGAGAGAGAGCAAGGCTGAGGGACATGGTTCGATCTGACAGACATTAAGGGTGATGCGACAGCCAGGCAAGCAACCCATCAGTTAGTTGTTCAACAAATGGGCTTTCCATTTGATATTTCTCTCTCCACTGGACTCACCATGCAGGATAATAGTGTTCGCAATAGAGAGAGAGAGAGTTGCTCTTTGTGTACCTAATACATGGATATACGTCTGCATGCATGCACATCAACCACCATATAATATGTTGCATACCTCCTGCTACTCATTCTCTCTTTCGCCCTTCTTCTTCTCATTTAATACTTTCCCACAGCTAAACCCGACCGACGAGGAGCTAGATTGTCAGTGCGATATTAAGAAGGCATATACGTTGAAAAAATCTCATAACTAAAAGACAGAGACGACGGTTGCGTCTCCTTGTGTGCCGAGAGATTTTTTGCTAATGAGGGGGGGCGGGGCGAAGAGAGCAGCTGATTTTCATGTAAACAATGCAGGCAGTTGCATGTAAAAAGTTGCTTTGGGTTTTGAGAGTGACCGTTCCCACTCTCCAAACGGGGCATCGCGAACCAGAAAAGGAGAAAAATTTCGACTAAAACTTCTAATTTGCAGCTAATACAAAATGGATTGATTTCGTTTTGGTGGCAATAAATTCCCAAGTTTGTGCTTTACAATTGCCATGTTGCATAAATTCCATAATAAATCTCAGAGAAAAGTATTGAACTGAAACATGGACTCATATCATGTTTCAGTCCAATACTTTTCACCGAGATTTATTATGGAATTTATGCAACATGGCAATTGTAAAGCACAAACTTGGGAATTTATTGCCACCAAAACGAAATCAATCCATTTTGTATTAGCTGCAAATTAGAAGTCTTAGTGACAAAAATCATTTACATTACTGGTAAGTGGCGAGGAGAAAAAGTCAACTCGCTCACTAGGATGCCCAGACTGTTCCCTAACTCAAACTAAGGCTGCCTGGGAGCCAGGCACAAAAATAATTTCTTAAAAATGATGTTTAGGCCTCATTTTTGGACAGAATGGAAAACGGATCGGTAATTCTGTGGAGAAACCCAGTCCCCACAAAATTACCGATCCGTTTTCCATTCTCTCCAAAAATGAGCCCTAAACATCATTTTTAAGAAATTCACTCTCCCAGGCACGGTTCTGTCGACTGTCAAAGTGAAAACAAATGAGAGGGAGAGATATTTCCTTCTTCTCTCCAGAGCCCCAACCAACCAACCAACCAGCCTTATTGTGCACGTCCTACTATGTGTAATCTATGCCCTCCAGTAGTACCACTACCACTCAATGATGATGATGATGATGATGAGAGAGAGAGAGAGAGAGAAACCTACTACTTGATTGTCTGCAGGAGAAAGAGGTGACTTTGCCCAACCAAAGCAACTCGGCAGAATAAGAAAGGGATTCATTCTCATTTATTACCCTTTGAAGATTGTGCGAGTATGGGAGCGGACTTTAAGCTGCTCGTGGTTAGAGGAAACTTGCTCCTCCGTGTTGTCTCCTGATAAGTTTAAATTAATGTGAATTAAATGGGAAGTAGGAGCAAGAGAGAGAGAGAAAGGATGTGGAGTTGGAGTAGTCAAGTGGCTTATTAGGCAGAAGAAGAAGGAAGGGAGTCGTATTATGCATCTCTCTCTCTGCTAACTTAAACTTGGCTTAGTTGAAGGGAGACCATTCCGCTTTCTTTCTTCTCCACTCTCTCTCTCCTTCTCCTTTCTTAATGGAAAAGCCAATAAGTGGAGCGGCGAGATCGAGTCGTGTGAAAACAGATGCGAGCTGCTGCGCGTACAGGTTCTTGGCTCTCCTATTCTTCTCGCCAAGTGAGTCCGTAATGAGTTCCGACCAACCAAATGGGCCAGTTCAGCTCCATTACGGGAGCGAAAATCTGAACCAGATTAGCCACCAGAAGTGACTGGGTGACTCTGATCGCCAGCCAGCCAGCTTCACTTTGTTTCACTTGATGCAACTTTCCCCCATTCCATATTATCCAGCAGCAGCAGAAAAGCAACAACAACAACAGCGACAACGACGACAATAGTGCTACCAAGTCTTTCTCTAAACGGGAAGATAGTTCTATAGAGAGTTGAGATCGAGAGAGACAGAGAAGAAAAAAAGTAGTGCTAGGAAAAGAAAACGTCTCCTGACTTCAAAATCCAATGGACATGATACTCGAGATATGTTATTCTCTATGCTTCGCTTTCTCTCTCTCTCCACTGCCACAAGGAAAGTGAAAAGAGCGAGTCGTCGTCGTCGTGGTGGTGGTGATGAAAGCAATCACAGGAAAATTGGACATTGGCACCTACTTGAGAGTGAAATAAAGAAGCCAAGCCTCCCACTCTCGCCTTTCACTTATCTCTCACTCGCTCTGGACATTAAGGGAATTAAGGGCTGAACATTCATTCACTCACCCACTTTCTGGGCGACACAACAACTAGGTCTGTCCATAGAAGAGAAGAGGAGGATAAGGTATATTAACGCCATAACGACGAGAAGGAAGTCACTCGAATGAATAGCCCGACGGCGACCTCATATTTTCAAAAACAAATGATTGCCAGCCACCAGGACATGCAAACCAGGATTGGGTAACGATGATGATAATGTGAAGAATAAGGAGCCGTTTATCGTATCCTACTTAACTTTTGGCGACGCACAATGGCATTGTTTTTGTCTCATTCATTCCCCGTATCATTCTCAATTTAAGAGAATGTCAACAAAGCCAAACTGCAAAGTCTACTAGCTGGAGAGTTCCGCATAATACGGGGAGAATAAATACGCACGAATTGTCATAACATTAATATGTACAAAAATATACTTATTCTAATCAATGGGTCAACCGAGTTCGTCTTTGGCTCGTTGGTTGGTTGGTTCGTTTGGTCAAAACATGTTTTTGTAAACTGACTCCGTCTCATTCTTTAAACAAAACCCATTCTTCTCCTCAATTAAAAAGTTTAATTACATTTTATAATGAATAACCTGATCAAATATCAATGAGCCATAATTATAGAATGATATATACAGTACACACATCCGTCCTCGGTCCTAGTCGATTGTACTTTTATTATTCAGTTCACACGTAGTTTGCCAGTCTCAAATTGAGCCACAATAGTGAATAAGCAAAAATACTATGAATGCGTGCCATCAATTTCTCTGTCGCCACTCGACGACGACCATAATAATTCGAACAAATGATGCATATCATGCTACATACCATTAATAACTTGTTGTGGGCAAATAAAGTAATAAATATTTTTTTCCACCAACCTGTCCCCGCCAAACTGCGACTTCTTCAACAAGTTCGTACTTCTTCCTTCCCCAAAAATCAGGGCACACACCTCCCTTCGAAACTTGACTGTCTTACAAAAGAAAAGCACAAAAACTAGAAATCATTTGTTGATAATCACTTATTGTTTGTTTGCACGTCGAGAAGAACACGACCAAGGAGAAGTTGCAATGCTGATGAGCAAAAGCGATGGAACGCGCTGCAGCGAAGTGGAGAAGACCACGTCCAAAAGCACACTGCTCACCCCGGCAACACTTTCGGCTGATAATAAATGGGGAGAACGGAGAGCGAGCGAGCGAGGCAATGGTTTCTTTCGTGTTCTGCTCTCACCGATTCCTCAGTTTGTGTGTTATTCCTCCTGTGTAATGTGTGACAGAGTCGTCGTATTTTGTACTCCAGCTAGTGTCACCTCATCATCGAAGGGTTCTCGACATGCGGAGCTAATCGTTTGGTGGAAAAGCGATGAGATTTTGAACAATAAATGATCTTTCGACTCGGAACAACAATTAATGCGTCGTGCGCACAACAAGACTCGCTCTCTTGATCCATCATGAAAAAGTCGAAGCAAGCGAGTAAAAATTTGAACAAAGCGTTTAATGCTGAAGTCGGCTCAAACGGTTTCTCGAGCAAATTGAGTGAACCTCGTCGTCGTCGTCATCGTATCTAGAATTTCCTCCCCTCCTCCGAGTTAAGTAGCATCAGCAGCAGCAACGGAGCACTTATCCGTCCAAATGCCCAACCAACATTCACTCCTGCTCCCATTACACCCCACTTGTGATGAGCTGGTGAACAAGAGAAGAAGAATATTTGCCCATCAGCCAGATCTGACATGAGAGATTTCATTTCTCTCATCCATTAGCGGGCATGAATATCAAATGCATTATTTCCCCTATTAATTCCCTTTGTTGCTATGCTGTACATAGGATTCATCTCGGCAGAAGCAGTGTATAGCATAATATGCGTCGTATGGTTTCATTTCACCATGAGGGCAGGGTACTTGAAAGCCTGGTGATGCTATCTCTCTGGGTCTAGTAGTTTATCATCATCATCAGCAGCAGCAAGCTATTCTCTGACCTAACAAACAACAAGTATTATAAAATATGCAGCAATGCATGTACTCCTTTCTGAAGGGAATTATATGTGCGTGTGCCGTGATGGAAAATTATTTTATTTTATTTATTAATATATACGGCACAAGCATCAAATCAAGGGCGACGCGGTGCATTATTAGGGAAGCAATTGTAGGAACACAAGTTGAACGTTGGGGTGACCACCATCCAACTATTAGTTCAATTGTGCTATGCACAAGATAATAGATGCGTATGTATGACCACCCTTCGGAAGTTGTGGCGATGTATGTACATGGAAAAGTAGCAGAAGAGCATGATCATCATTAGAGTTATTTTATGTATGTTGTTGGAAGAAAAGTTTTAAAAAGGGATTTTTGAGTGGTTTTTAGTGGTGGTGGTGGTCTGCTTTTAATGAAGTGGTTGTTGTACTAGTTGCAGAGGATGAAAGACCACTAGCTCTCGAAGAAGAACTACATCATCTCATAACGTGACTTGGAATCCCAACACGCCTCCGAGCAGCAACAGAAAAGTCCAGAGCACTTCACGTCAATTCTTCTTCTCCTCTTGCTATTAAACCATCACGAAAACAATGTGTAACCAACGTAGCTTTGGAGAAGAAGGAGGAATCGGCCCCATTAATACCTCAAAGGCTGCATGTGCTCTCTCTCTCTCTCTCTCTCCGTCCATGTAACAAATCTCTTCCCAAATTAAAATCAATCCCAACAAGTGCAGGCGCAAGAGGTGGGTAAACTACTAACTGACGTCCTCTGAAACTGAAAGAAGAAATCAGTTTTCCCGTGAATTGAGCATTTCATTTTTCTCCACGGTGCCGGGGCTGGATGGGTTATTCCTCACTAACTAAGAGGCGAGGAGGACGACGAAGATGAATGAATGATAATTATACCCGTCTATTTACGAGCGAGTAATGTGCCTTAAATGGAGGCATCATAGATCGTGATCATATCCACTGCCACCACGGCATGATGGGCTTCTTTTTCATCTCTCTCTCTCTCTCCTCTCTAAAAGCGAACACAAAGGGCAATTATGTATCCTCCGGGTTTTCGCTTCGTATCCACATCTCCTTAATCGTTATATACTCCTTTGTACGGATCCCCTCTACCCCAACCAACCGACTCATCAGAAGAGAAGTAGAGAAGAAGAACACAACAATACAATGAGCAAAGTTGGTGATGACTCGTCCTGTTGTTCATGATTATTGGGAATCAAATCAACCAAGCACTGCGTACCAAACGAGAAACGAGAAATAAAAAAATTGAGATGATTATGATGCAAATAAATGTGGGATTCATGTCCATTCGAGTGCTGCTGGTGATGTGTAATGTGCTCGTCTGAATCTGAAACCTAGTCCAACTCTTTTTTGTTGTTGAATACATAATAAGATGAAGAAGAATAAGTTGTAGCAGCAGTGGCAGCATGGGCAGCGAGAGAGAGATGATAAGTTGACTGAATCACCATCCTCCTTATAAAATGGAACTCTTGTCATGTAATGAAGTAGATTTCTTTCAGGTATACACACGTTAACGCGACTGTCTTCAAGAGTGGGCAACCTCCCATAACAATCATCATCATCGTCCGATCAGATCATCAAGTCTTGTTGTCTTAAACGGTTTAATGGTATTAAAGTTTTAAGGCGATGTTCTTAATTGCTTGCTCACCCGTATGGTTGAGTGAGTGACTAACCGTTCCACATAAAGAGGTGGATATATGTGTAAGAAGAATTTAGTGGGTGAACAACAAGGCGGACATCAATTTGACTCCAATCCAATTCCGTAGGATGGATCGGTCTGCTATGCAATCGTAATGAATTGGAGATGTTGTCTCGTCGTGGAAAACGATTTGAGAAAAACTGGCTCGGCTCGCTCAATCAAAAGCATTTCATCCTTTTGTGGCCGTCTGCTATCAAAAGCTTTTAGTGATGGCATTAAAGTCATGAGGAATTAAAAGGCTCTCTCTGTTCACGTTGTACGTATGATGATGAGCTCTGCTGAGTCAGCATGGGTTGCCCATCCATACCCACCAACGAACCCCATGTTGCTCTGGCTGCTTATTTTTCATCCATATATATTTATATGGCTTGATTTGGGCACTCAGAGAGCCCATCAGTGACCAATTTCACTCAATTCATCATAACAATGTTTAACATGACGTGGTGTGCCGGGCTAATAATTGAGACGACAGGGTAGCAGTTCTTCTGTTGTCTAATAGCTTGGATGATGTACGTGGCGGTGGTGGTGATGCTGCTCTCTCGCTCCCACACCGGCCTGGTCATGTCCTTTACTTTATTTTAATTTTGTGCGGCAGATGAGTGATACAAATCATGTCGGTGGTTCTCCGTTTGTTCAAAAGTAAATGGTTGTTTTCAGCCAAAACCTTGACGACGAGGACGATCATCATCATCATCTTCCCCTCGAGGAATGAATATACTTTGCGAGACGAACTCAACTCTCGGAGTCGCACCACACGCTAAGGCCGGGGCTCAGACCTAATTATTGGAAACAGGATTGGCTCATGATTTGCTTTGTTGGTGACAAACGATGAGAGAGAGAGAGAGAGAATTAAAGTGGGGAAAGGTCCACCCTGAATCCTGATGAGTCCTGCCTCTGCTTGCCTTCCGTACTTTACGTGCTTCATCTGTGATTCCCGATCCTCATCATCATTATCACGCGCGATGAGGACGACTTTGTTGATATGGGAGAAGAAGACGTACATAGTCGCCTGTATTCTAAAACTTGATAGGCCGTCTCCTCCAGCAGAGGCTCAACCAACTAATAATATAATGGAGACAGTAGTCAATGCAAGAAGGTGCTTGGTTCCAAATCCAGAGCCAAAACTCATACCCCGTCACAACTACCTCCTCATTTAAGTGGAGTCTGTGACAACATGGAACTTATTACCGAGAGAGAACAAGCAACCCTCCGACGACGACTCCCTCCTATGGAGAAGTAGCTCTTGATATAATCCATTACCCGGAATGAACCGATTTTGGAAACTTGGCTGCACTCGACGCCACAAGAAGAGTCGTATGTCGAATACTTAACTACTTCAATCCTCCTGTTAGCAATGACCAGCCTGCAAACTATGGAGTGACGCACTTCTTCCTCCCATCACAAAACGACTGCGAGTGACACTATTATTATTACCTTCGTGCACCTACCATAATACCACCCACCTCCATCATATTACACGTCAGGACCTCAAAACTCGTGTCGTCGGCCTCTCTTTCTGTGTGTGTCTCTGACTTGTTCTCATAACTCTTGCACCCATATTATCATTATTATTATTACCATTATGCACACAACACTGTGAAACCCGTATGCAAATGGCGACGTACATACGTATTCATGCTTTCTCCTCTGTGACTAAAAGGCTGAGAGTTTAATTTAATTGGGACCCGGAAAAGGGAGGAAAATACCCGTTTTTTAAGAATTGGTTGTTTTCATGGTTTTAGCTCAGAGAGCGAGAGTCTCTCTGTCAGACTCCCACAAGGGGAAAGGAAGATAATGATGATCACTTACAAGTTGGTGTCACTAACTTTGTTAGTGACAAAAAAACATTGTTTTGTTCTCCTAAATGATGCCAACCAGCCAGCCAGCCAGTCAGCCATCCAGTGGAGGATGAGGACCAAGAAAAGTAGAGCGTTGTCGACGACGACGACAACGACTGCAAATGCTTCTGATGCGACTCAACAAGAAATGGTTTTCAGCCGGAGCAACTTCTTTTAGCAGCCTTGCCACCACCACCTCGAGTACGAAACACTCTAAGAAGAAAAGTTGTTGAGAGTGGAGCAGTATTCTAAATTAATCTTCCATGAAGAAAGGAACGTGTTTTATATATCTCCATAGTCCGCGTGTATTTGTCTCGTTTTGTCGGGCGGTGCAAGTTCAAGGGAGGAGGACGACGACTCCGATGAGGTAAATTGCTTCCTTTTATTGCACGCTTAGGTCCAAATCTTCTCCCCTTCGGCCCAGAAGAAGGAAGGTGAGGCGGCCGAGAAGAGACAAGTGAAGTGCCACTAACTGACTCTGGAATTGAAATGGCAAATAAAATCCATGCAGACTTGTCTTCTTTTCTCTTTCATCGTATGTATAAACGTTCCATGCGACACTTATTTGCTCCAGTTTCTACTCATGTCTTGTTTTTTTACTGTTGTTGTTTTGGGCGACTTTCTTCCAATCACTGGACGATTACACAGATGACAAAGTTCTAGTAACAGGTTCCATATTCGGCGGAGTGATGAGTAATCAGAGTGAAGAGAGGTTGTCGGTGGGTAGGCAGATTGGGATGATGGCAAGGAAAGCAGTGATCGTGATGGTGGCATATGAGCGGAGTGAGAAAGAATTAAGGAGGCAGGAGAGAGCTGGAGGCAAGGAGAGGAAAGCGGATATTCAACCAGAGTTCATGTTCCGGAACATCCTCTCCTCTGCTTCCATCATCCCGATGATACTGAGTGGACTCATTTAGTGTGTTTCATCTTTTGTGCATTTTATATGCTCCCCTTTTCGATCTATCTTTTATATTCTGGAAGCAAGAGGATGAGGCTGAGGAGGAGAAAAGCAGTCTCTTATTCTTGCCTCAATATTATTCGCGTGTTTAATGTTCTTCTTATAGGCCACACTTTACTTTTGTTCTTCTTCTTCTTCTCCCAGTAAAGCGATCCTGAACTAATCCGTCCTTCGTAAGGATGGAACATGCTCGCACTCACTGGTGCAGTC